ACCCCACCTGCCCCCACCCCCTGGCTAATGATCCCAACTTCCGTTCCGTAATCGCTGTTCAGTTTCGTGTCCTCGGGATTTAATGAAGGTCGCGCACAGCCTTGATCAATCCACAGCTGGATGAACAATCATCATAATAATGTACTAGTACACTACACTATAGGTTTACACTATACACTAGTGCACTACACTATACACTACACTATACAATACACTAGTGCACTACACTATACACTACACTATACACTAGTGCACTACACTATACACTAGTACACTACACTATACACTACACTATACACTAGTGCACTACGCTATACACTACACTATACACTAGTGCACTACACTATACACTACACTATACACTAGCGCACTACACTATACACTACAATATACACTGGTGCACTACACTATACACTACACTATACACTACACTATACACCTAGTGCTGTACTAGTATACTACACTATACACTACACTATACACTATACACTAGCGCTGTACTAGTACACTACACTATACACTACACTATGCACTACACTTTACACTACACTATACACTACACTATACACTACCTATACTTACACTACACTATACACTAGTGCTGTACTAGTACACTACACTATACACTACACTATGCACTACACTTTACACTACACTATACACTACACTATACACTACACTATACACTAGTGCTGTACTAGTATACTACACTATACACTACACTATACACTACACTATACACTACACTATACACTTTACTACTATACACTACACTACTATACAATACACTACTATAACACTACACTTTATACTACACTATACACTACACTATACACTACACTATACACTACACTATACACTACACTATAAACCAGTGCTGTACTAGTATACTACACTATACACTAATGCTGTACTAGTATACGGTGGTGGTGGGTGGTGGTACTGGGCAGTTGGAGGCAGTCGCCCTCCAGCAACAACGGAAGGCTGAGGAGCGACGCTCACAACAACGAGCCGAGCGCCGGTCGGATAAATTTGCAGCAAGTTGGCACAGTAGGGGGCACTGGTGGTGCATCTACCGGTCATCTCAGTCAAGCCAACCCATGGCACCACCTGGGTTTTTCCCGTGACCTCCTGCACCTAAGCTGGCCACAGTAGGGGGCACTGGTGGTGCATCTGCCAGTTATCTCAGTCAGTCAACCCATGGCACCAGTTGAGGTCTTTCCCGTGACCTCCTGCACCTAGCCTGGCACAGTAGGGGCACTGGTGGTGCATCTGCCAGTCATCTCAGTCAGTCAACCCATGGCACCACCTGGGTCTGTCCCGTGACCTCCTGCACCTAGCCTGGCACAGTAGGGGGCACTGGTGGTGCATCTGCCAGCCATCTCAGTCAGTCAACCATGGCACCACCTGGGTCTGTCCCGTGACCTCCTGCACCTAGCCTGGCACAGTAGGGGGCACAGGTGGTGCATCTACCAGTCATCTCAGTCAGTCAACCCATGGCACCTGGGTCTGTCCCGTGACCTCCTGCACCTAGCCTGGCACAGTAGGAGACACAGGTGGTACATCTGCCAGTCATCTCAGTCAGCCAACCCATGGCACCATCTGGGGTCTGTCCCGTGACCTCCTGCACCTAGCCTGGCACAGTAGGGGGGGGGTACAGCTGTTGTGCATCTGCTGGGTCTGTCCCGAGACATCCTCCTGTCAGCAAGCCTTCGACACTAGCCTCAAAGTGCACCTAGCCTGGCACGGGTGCCGTGGTGACGTCACCGTGGTGGTATTGGTGGTGGCAATTCGTTGGAAGTTGAAATAAAATTCAACAAACTGGGGAGGGGAGGGGGGTGGGTACAACAGTTGCCAAGACAAAGTTTGAGTTCCACTCGTGTTTGTGTGACCATCGTCCACGTGGTTCGCGTCTTCATGTGCGTCGCTCATCTCACCGCTGTGTTCGCTCCCCCGCCCTCTCTCCCCCCTCCTCCACCACCACCTTCCCATGTGCTCTCTTCCTCCATACACGTGCGTTGCGTACGTGTGCGTGCGTGCGTGTGTGTGCGTGCGTGTGTGCGTGTTTGTGTGTGTGTGTGCGTGCATTCATACGTTGGTGACACACGCAATACACACACACACGCGCACACACACGCACACACGCACATGTACACACACGTACACACACACGTACACACACACGTACACAACACGTACACATACACGTACACACGTATACACACGCACGTACACACACACGTACACAACACATGTACACATACACGTACACACGTATACACACACACGCACGTACACACACACACGCGTACACACACATGTACACACACACGTACCACACACACGTACACACACATGTACACGCACACACACATGTACACACACACACACGTACACACACGTCAGAGTGGGGGTGGTGGGGAGCCGGGCAGAGTGGGAGGGGGGTGCTATGGGGACCCGAGCAGTGCGTGGGAGGAGGAGGTGGAGGAGGAGGTGGAGGAGGTGGAGGAGGAGGAGGTGGAGGGATCGTCTGGGGACGAGTCTGTCTTCACCGATTCGATCCGAGAACCGCCTGGCGATCTAAGACACCAAGGTGCGTGCATGCCGGCAAATCAGCATCACCATCATCATCACCATCATCATCATTATCATCAACATCAGCATCACAACCATCATCACCAGCATCACCATTATCATCAACATCAGCATCACAATCATCGCTGTCATCATCATCACCACCACCACCACTATCATCATCAGAACTACCACCATCACCACCACCATCATCACAAACATCATCACTATCATCACCATTATCACAATCATTATTATCAACGTCAGCATTACAATCATCACTATCATCATCGCAATCATCACCATAATGAACACTACTATTATCACCACCACCATCATCACCAACATAATCATCATCACAATCATCACATCATCACCACCAACACCATCATCACCACCATCATCACCACCACCATCATCACCATCATCACCGTCACAATCATTATCATCAACATCAGCATTACAATCATCACTATCATCACCATAATCACCACCACCACCATAATCACCACCACCATCATCACCACCATCATCACCACAACCACTATCATCACTGCCATCATCACTACCACCATCATCATCACAACTACCATCATCACCACCAATATCATCATCACCGCCACCACCATCATCATCACAACCATCATCACCAACCCATTCCCCATATTCTTGGTTCATTCTGTAAAGTCACGAAGAAGGGAAATAATAAAATAATATTTTTTTTACATAATAAAATAAAATTCTCACGACGTTTCGGCCACAACGCAAGCAGCCGTCCTCAAGTGAAGAAACAGCTGTCGGAAAGACAGCGTCCCCGTCAACCCATACGGTTTATTCTGTATTCTTGTACAAGGAAAGTGAGTTTCCAGGGCGATTCGGCGTACAGACATTTCAATACGGGGCAAAAATAATGTGTCTTTGTTTGTGTTTCTCCCTTGCGATGGAACTTTGTAGGGTGAACGTTGAGATGTATAAAGGGCACGGGGTGAGCACTAAGGTCTGAGTTGGTTTCTAAGAAGGTCCGGACACTCATAAGGGGTTGACAGATATGAGAGTGTGGGTGAGTGTGTGGGTGGGTGAGTGTGTGGGTAAGTGAGTGTGTGGTAGGGTGAGTGTGTGGGTGAGTGTGTGTGTGTGAGTGTGTGGGTGAGTGAGTGTGTGGTTGGGTGTGTGGGTGAGTGTGTGTGTGAGTGTGTGTGTGAGTGTGTGGGTGAGTGAGTGTGTGGTTGGGGGAGTGTGTGGGTAGATGAGTGTGTGTGTGGTTGGGTGAGTGTGTGGGTGGGTGAGTGTGTGGGTGAGTGTGTGGGTGGGTGAGGAGTGTGTGGATGAGTTTGTGGGTGATTGTGTGGGTGAGTGTGTGGGTGAGTGTGTGGGTGAGTGTATGGGTAAGTGTGTGGGTGGGTGAGTGTGTGGATGAGTTTGTGGGTGAGGTGTGGGTGAGTGTGTGGGTGAGTTTGTGGGTGAGTGTGTGGGTGAGTGAGTGTGTGGTTGAGCGTGTGGGTGAGTGTACTAGTGGTGAGTGTACTCGTGGTGATTGTCGATTTGTTTGCATTTCTCCCTTGCGATGGAATTTTCTAGGATGAACGTTGAGATGTATAAGGGCCACGGGGTTGACCAATACGGTCTGAATTGGTCTCAAATAAGGATAGGGGCACTGATAAGGGGTTGACATTTCGATTTAAAGCTTTCGTGACTGCAGGGATTCATCTTCTTGGTTCTTTCGGTAAAGTCACGTAGAATGGAAATAATAAAAATAAAACATAATAAAATAATTCTCACGACGTTTCGGCCACAACGCAAGCAGCCGTCCTCAGGTGGAGAACAAGTCTGTCGGGGAGACAGAGTCAGACGGCTGCTTGCGTTGTGGCTGAAACGTCGCGATAATTATTTTATTACGTTTTATTTTTTCATTACTTCCATTCTACGTGACTTTACCGAAAGAACCAAGAAGATGAATCCCTACATAATATTTTATTATGTTTAATTTTATTATTTTATTATTTCCATTCTACGTGACTTTACCGAAAGAACCAAGAAGATGAATCCCTACATAATATTTTATTATGTTTAATTTTCATTATTTATTATTTCCATTCTACGTGACTTTACCGAAAGAACCAAGAAGATGAATCCCTACATAATATTTTATTATGTTAAATTTTTATTATTTTATTATTTCCATTCTACGTGACTTTACCGAAAGAACCAACAAGAAGGGGTTGACAGTTTTTTTGCCAACGACGACGAAGACGACGTTGTTATTGCGAATGCGGTGTTAGTGATTGAGCACGCACTCGCTGAGTGTCCATCCCAATCGCCCGGGCTCACTCCGTCTGTGATGATACCTCTACCTGCGCGTTCCGGCATGCGCGTCCCGTAGAGACCCCCCCACCCTCAGGGATGAAGCCATGTTGCAGGCGCGGGTGGGTTGATTCTAGTGTAATAAAGGACTCTTTCACTGTGTCTGTCTCCGTTGTTCTTTATCTGGGTTCTTACAACTTTGCCCCGCACGGCCCTCGCTCAGAGTCTTCTCCACCTTCCGCTCGGCAGCCCTTCTGCTGCCGTCGCTCGCGTAGCCTTTTCTCCTCGCTCCCGATGCAGCTCCGCTGCTGGCTTTCCTCTCAGCCTCTCCGCCAGGGGCGGTTTCTTCATTAGGGCGATTGGGCGACGCACCACCAATGTCATTCAACCACAGAGTCACGCTAGCCGTCACTGTCAGCCTCTGGATATAGTCCAATCAGCGTCATGTCACGTTCTGTGGAGTACCGCCTCTTTTGGGGCGATTTCACTCCGGCTGAGAATCGCCCCGAGTGGCCCCATAGACTTACATTCAAAGATGTTTTTTTTCGAACGGGGGCGCTCCCATGCATTCTCTATGGCTTCCGGGAGGGCGAGCCCTAACGTGCTTACGTCATCATACGTGTTTACGTCATCATACGTGCTAACGTCATCATACGTAAGCACGTTTCATCCAACAATATAATTTATCGCTACCTAGTGGAATCTTTAATAAAATAAACTTGAGTGGTTTGTTTTAATAGTGAGTATATAAACAAACAAGATGTATTGTAAGAGTCACTTTATTTTTCATTAATATTAAAGAAGTGAAGTTGCCTTTACATGCTTAAGCTGTTAATTTATTCATTGCATGGGTGGACCTTATCCTTATCAATCATCCAGACATTTGCCCCCCCTGAGAGATTTTGCAGGAGCCGCCACTGCTCTCCGCCCTTATGCAGTCTCTCGGCTGCTCTCTCTGCAGCCCCACTGCTGCTCTCCGTCCTTCCCGTGCCCGGACACCGCTGGCCGACGGTGCCGAGTCCCGTCCTGTGGCGATCGCGCCACTCTCCACCCTCTGCCCCGCGTGGCCTCCTCCCGTCTTTATTCTTACACTCTCCTCCCGTCTCTTCCGGTTCCCGCCCTTAAGAGCTTTCCCTTCTCCCCCACGTGACCTAACCCCTCCCCCCGTTACGTCATATCCACGAGGCCGTTTACGCCCGCATTACACTAGGAACTTGAATTGTGAGAAGAGACAAGACGTTGGGAAATGAGTGACAAACGGTGACTCACCAGTGACTCACGGCCTACCCGTACCCGGCCGCACCAGGGTCGCAAACGGGTACCTGTACCCGTACCCGGCCGTACCCGTACCCTAACCGTACCCGGCCGGGTACGGGTAGGGTACGGGTATCGGGTACCTGATTGCGACCTCTGGGATGAAGCCACATTGCAGGCACGGGTGGGTTGATTCTAGGAACTTGAATTGTGAGAAGAGACAAGACGTTGGGAAATGAGTGACAAACGGTGACTCACCAGTGACTCACGGCCTACCCGTACTCGTACCCGTACCCGGCCGCACCAGGGTCGCAAACGGGTACCCGTAGCCGGGTATCGGGTAGGGTACGGGTATCGGGTACCCGGTTGCGACCTCTGTGCTGTGTGTTCGAGCTGAGGGGCACCCCCAGTGGCAGCCGTCTGATCGCAAGCCGCCAGCGTTCAGCAGCTGATCTCCGCGTGTGGCGTGCGTCACGCCTTCCCTGCCACTCACCCTCCTTCGCACCCCCTCCCACCCCACCTTCTCGCTGTACCAGGCAAGGTGCACGCGGCGGTGGCTGGGCGGCCGCGCGGCGGTGGTGGCGGTGGTGGTGGCGGCGGTGGTGGTGGTGGCGGTGGTGGCGGCTACTACTCATCGGACAGCGCCGGCAGCGGCAGCTTCAGCGCAAATCTTGGGTTCAAGTACCGTCCCTCGAAGCGTCCGAAAGCCAAGCCCTCCCTCGATGGTACGCACGTACCCCACGTGCCCGTACCCACGTGCACGTACTCACACGTGCATTGGCTTCTGGTTGCCGCACGAATGATTTACAAATGAACCATCGTAATAATATCCTCGCTTGCTGATCTCAAGAAGCTATGAACCCGGCTTTTCACTCCGGTCACACGAAATCAACTTGGAACTCACTCACTCGCTCATCATCTCACTCACTCGTAAATCCACTCACTCGATTACCCACTCACCCACCATCTCACTCATTCACTCACTCGTTCACTCACTTATTCACTCACTCATCCACTCACTCATTATCTCACTCTTGGTCTCATGACCCCTCACCCTGGTCACATGAAATCAACTTGGAACTCACTCACTCATCATCTCACTCACTCACTCATCATCTCAGTCACTCAAGTTATGCACTCACCCACAATCTCACTCATTCACTCATTCATTCACTCACTCATTCACTCACTCATTTACTCACTCATTCTCTCACTCTTGGTCTCTTGACCCCTCACTTTGGTCACATGAAATCAACTTGGAACTCACTTCCTCATCATCTCACTCACTCATCATCTCACTCACTCAATTACGCACTCACCCACAATGTCACTCATTCATTCACTCACTCAGTTCACTCACTCACTCATGGTCTCTTGACCCCTCACCCTGGTCACACGAAATCAACTTGGAACTCACTCACTCGCTCATCATCTCACTCACTCGATTACCCACTCACCCACCATCTCATTCATTCACTCACTCGTTCACTCACTCGTTCACTAACTCATTCACTCACTCATCCACTCACTCATTCACTCACGCATCATCAACGTGTAAGTTGAAGCCTCACTCTCTTGGCTGTCCTCCTACAACCCAATTATGCTGATGATGCTGATGATGCTGATGATAATGATGCTGATGATGCTGATGATAATGATGCTGATGATGCTGATGATAATGATGCTGATGATGATGCTGATGACCCCTCTGCCCCCTCACCCCCCCTCCCCTCCCGGCGTCGCCAGACCTGCCCCTCCCCCCCGCCCCTCCCCCACCGGTGGGCACGTGCCCCCCAATGATGACGACGACGGCGATGGTGGTGGTGGGCGGAGTGGGGGGCTCCCTGGAGCGAGGCGGTGGGTGCGGTGACGATGGCGAGCGGAGCCTGGAGGGGCATTGCGGAGCCCCCGCGGACAAACTCTACGGCCTGCACGGTACGCGGGGGCCGGGGTCAAGGGGGGGATATAGGGTCACGGGGTCACGGGGTCATGAGGTCATGGGGATACGGGGTCACTGGATCATGGGGATACGGGGTTATGGGGTCATGGGGTCAGTGGGTCACGATGGTATGGGGTAGCTGGGTCAATGGGTCATGGGGTCAATGGGTCATGGGGTCACTGGGTCAAGGATATATGGGGTCACGGGGTCACGGGGTCATGGGGTTATGTGGTCACTGGGTCATGGGGTTATGGGGTCATGGGTCATTGGGATATGGGGTCGCTTGGTAATGGGGATGGCTGAACGATAATGGCTTTAAGATACCGGGGGATCTTTGTGTCTCTGTGTCTGGCGTAGAAGCTCCACCTTACTCCCGGCCAAACTTCCCTGGTGGTGGTGGTGGCTACGGTAGTGGTGGTGGCTACGGTGGTGGTGACTACGGTGGTGGCTACGGTGGTGGTGGTGGTGACTACGGTGGTGGCTACGGTGGTGGCTACGGTGGTGGCGGTGCCACCCCAGGTTTCGGCGCGGGACCGATGATGGGGCCTCGGCGGGCACCGTCCGGGAGGTCGTGTGGGCACGCCGACGCTGACGCCGACTTTGTGGAGGTCGCGGATGAGACCCACGCCGGCAAGCTGTGCTACGTGAGCACCCCCCCCCCCTTGGTGATGGTGGCTAGGAGATGTTAACTACCTCGCCTGGTGTACAGGAGGTCGTGGGTTCCATCCAGACCCCTGACGCCTGCTGCTGTATATTTGGAGTTTGCGTGTCTCTCTCTCTCATCATCATCACGGTGGCTAGGAGATGTTAACTACCTCGCCTGGTGTACAGGAGGTCGTGGGTTCAATCCCGACCCTGACGCCTGCTGCTGTATATTTGGAGTTATGATGGTGAAGAGATTAGTCCACACATTTTGCTGTGATGATGATGGTGAACAGATGGATATTAGTCGGGACACTTTTTCTGCAGTGCCTTCTCCTGGCGAGCCAGAGTAACAACAATCATAACAACAACAATCATACCAACAGCAATAATCATAACAACAACAATCATAACAACAACAATCATAACAACAACAATCATAACAACAACAATCAAAACAACAACAACAATCATAACAACAGCAACAATCATACCAACAACAATCATAACAACAATAACAACAATCATAACAACAGCAACAATCATACCAACAACAATCACAACAACAACAATCATAACAACAACAATCATAACAACAACAATCACAACAACAACAATCATAACAACAACAACAATCATAACAACAACAATCACAACAACAACAATCATAACAACAACAACAATCATAACAACAACAATCATAACAACAACAATCACAACAACAACAATAACAACAACAACAATAACAACAACAACAATACCAACAACAACAACAACAACAATAACAACAACAACAACAATCATACCAACAACAACAACAACAACAGCTAACACTTGTGTCCTATTCCTTCTTGTCTGCAGGCCGACATGAGGTGAAGCTTCTTGCCGTTTCGTCGTGACGACGTTTTCTAAGAAACTGACCCCCATCTCCCCCCCCCCCCACCATAGCCCCCCCCCCACCACCCCCCCCCCCATCGCCCCCCCACCATCGCCCCCCCCCACCATCGCCCCCCCCCCCCCACTTAGCCCCCCCCCACCACACCCCCCCCCCCACGACATCGACTTCCCAGCTCTAACAACGCCACCCAAGCCGCACGCTGCCGACTGCCTCGCCTGCGACAATCACCGCGGCCGCCTCGGTGGTGGTGGTGGTGATGGTGGGTGGTGATGGTGGTGGTGGTGGCAGTGGTAGCGGTGGCGGCGGTGGTGGAGTTGGTGGCGGTGGCAGTGGTGGCGGTGGTGGCGGTGGTGGTGATGGTGGTGGTGGTGGCGGTGGTAGCGGTGGCGGCGGTGGTGGAGTTGGTGGCGGTGGCAGTGGTGGCGGTGGTGGCGATGGTGGTGGCGGTGGTGGCGGTGGTGGAGGTGGTGGCGGTGGCAGTGGTGGCGGTGGTGGTGCTGCTACTGGTGGCGATGGTGGTGGTGGTGCTGCTACTGGTAGTGATGATGGTGGTGGTGGTTCTGCTACTGGTGGTGATGCTAGTGGTGGTGATGATGGTGGTGATGATGATGGTGATGACGGTGGTGGTGGTGTTGCTGCTGCTACTGGTGACGATGATGGTGATGGTGATGCTGCTGCTGGTGATGATGGTGCTGATGGTGGTGGTGATGGTGATGATGGTGGTGGTAATGATAGTGGTGATGATGATGGTGGTGGTGGTGCTGCTGCTAGTGATGGTGGTGGTGCTGCTGCTAGTGATGATGGTGATGATGGTGATGATGGTGGTCGTGAGGCTGACGGACTCCCCCCGATTACAACTCGAGCCGGCGTTTGAGAGTCACCGACGCGAACGCACGGCCGCCTTTGTCTCTCCAGTGGAGTTTCAGAAGAGACGAGATGCTAAACAAACTCCCACTCACCCCCACCTCCCAGCCCCCCCCCCCCCCAGCTCCCCACGGCTTCAGTGTACGGTTCGATTATTTATATATATATACATCCGTGTGTTAAACGGTCGTAGGCTTCCTCCTCCCCTAGGTCGACTCAGCCTCAAATGAGTAATCCGGTGCTGTTTGCGAGTAGTTGAAAAGCTAAAAAAAAAGCATTGCCGCTTGGAAAGACAAAGGCGGTCGGGCGTGGTGCTGGGCACCCACCCCTCGTGTGCTGCTACTCGCTAACAGCACTTGCCCCAACAGTCGGTTGCAGGCTACACGGGGGATCTTTGTCTTTGCGCGATAGTGGGAGCGGTTCCCGTTGGCATGGAATCGATTCTCCACTCGTGGCCACCACCACCATCACCGACGCCACCACCACCGACACCACCACCACCATCACCGACACCACCGCCACCGGTTGCGATTATTATCTTTAACCGGTTCCTGGGACTCAGTATCCGTACAGGGACTCCTCTACTTAGGCACATTCGACTTACGAACTTTCAAAGATAAGAACAAATCTGTCCGTATGTCCAGTTGCCTGTTCAGACCGAGAGTTCGATGGCGGTGGTGGCATCTACATCTGTAGAACATGAAGAACCAGTGGCATCTACATCTGCAGAACGTGAAGAACCAGTGGCATCTACATCTTCAGAACGTAAAGAACCAGTGGCATCTACATCTGCAGAACGTGAAGAACCAGTGGCATCTACATCTTCAGAACGTAAAGAACCAGTGGCATCTACATCTACAGAACGTGAAGAACCAGTGGCATCTACATCTGCAGAAAGTGAAGAACCAGTGGCATCTACATCTGTAGAACGTAAAGAACCAGTGGCATCTACATCTGTAGAACGTGAAGAACCAGTGACATCTACATCTACAGAACATAAAGAACCAGTAGCATCTACATCTGCAGATCATGAAGAACCAGTGGCATCTACATCAGCAGAACTAGAAGAACCAGTGGCATCTACATCTGCAGAACGTGAAGAACCAGTGGCATCTACATCTGCAGAACGTGAAGAACCAGTGGCATCTACATCTGTAGAACATGAATAACCAGTGGCCCCTACATCTGCAGAACGTGAAGAACCAGTGGCATTTACATTAGCATAACGTGAAGAACCAGTTGCATCTACATCTACAGGAGATGATACAACTTTAAAAGTCATTCCCATGTTTAGTGTCCACGCCGTCCAACATGTTTGTAATGGACAGGAGTAAAGTTGGCACTTACGAACAAACCGACTTACGAACAGTCACCTATGTTAAATTTCGATTGAAAGCTTTCGTGACTGCAGGGATTCATCTTCTTGGTTCTTTCGGTAAAGTCACGTATAAGGGATATAATAAAATAAAACATAATAAAAATAATTCTCACGACGTTTCGGCCACAACGCAAGCAGCCGTCCTCAGGCGAAGAAACTACGTTACCTAACTCGTTTGTAAGTAGAGGAGTCCCTGTAGGTGTGAGTTAGTGAACGCCGCCACCTATGGCGAACTAACGGGGGGGAGGGGGGGGCAGGTGTGATAGGTGCCACCTCACCCACCTCACCCACCTCACCCACCTCACCCACCTCAACTCACCTCACCCACCTCACCCACCTCACCCACCTCACCTCACTCACCTGACCCACCTCACCCACCTCACCCACCTCACTCACCCCCCCCCCGTTCGTGTGCCCACTGTGCCGGCCTTCGTACGTGCAGCTTCCACAGCTCTGCTCACAACAGACCTTGCACCTCCACCCCCCACAACAGTCTGTGAAGGCTACACGGGGAGAATGGGTGGGTAGGTGGGGAGTGGAGGGAGTGAGTTGGGTCGGGAGGGGGGGGGTTACTCTTTGTCTTGTAAAAATAATAATAAGCGGGGGGGGGGGGTTACTCTTTGTCTTGTAAAAATAATAATAAGGGGGGGTGGGGGGGGGTGTGATCGAGAAGAAGGCACAATTTGAGTTTGTTTTTGGCGTCATCCGCGGTATGTAAAATGAAGAAAAAAAAATGCACTTTTGATTTCCTTTCGCGGAACCGTGTCGGAGCGTTTCGAGTTTACGGATGGTAGCCATGACGAGCGCAGATACTCGTCTCTTGCTCTGTCTCCTTTCCCTCTCGCCACAACAACTTTCTCGCTATTAGCCCAGTGTGGGCAATGCTGAGCCCATAGACTCAGCACTGCACCATAGACTCAGCACTGCACCATAGACTCAACACTCAACACTGCACCATAGACTCAGCACTGCACCATAGACTCAACACTGCCCATAGACTCAGCACTGCACCATAGACTCAACACTCAACACTGCACCATAGACTCAGCACTGCAGCATAGACTCAACACTGCACCATACACTCAACACTGCCCATAGACTCAGCACTCAACACTGCACCATAGACTCAGCACTGCAGCATAGACTCAACACTCAACACTGCCCCATAGACTCAACACTCAACACTGCACCATAGACTCAGCACTGCAGCATAGACTCAACACTGCACCATACACTCAACACTGCCCATAGACTCAGCACTCAACACTGCACCATAGACTCAGCACTGCAGCATAGACTCAACACTCAACACTGCCCCATAGACTCAACACTCAACACTGCACCATAGACTCAGCACTGCAGCATAGACTCAACACTGCACCATACACTCAACACTGCCCATAGACTCAGCACTCAACACTGCACCATAGACTCAGCACTGCAGCATAGACTCAACACTCAACACTGCCCCATAGACTCAACACTCAACACTGCACCATAGACTCAGCACTGCAGCATAGACTCAGCACTGCACCATAGACTCAACACTGCACCATAGACTCAACACTGCCCATAGACTAAACACTGCCCATAGACTCAGCACTGCCCCATAGACTCAACACTCAACACTGCCCCATAGACTCAACACTCAACACTGCACCATAGACTCAGCACTGCAGCATAGACTCAGCACTGCACCATAGACTCAACACTGCACCATAGACTCAACACTGCCCATAGACTAAACACTGCCCATAGACTCAGCACTGCCCCATAGACTCAACACTACCCATAGACTCAACACTGCACCATAGACTCAACACTGCACCATAGACTCAGCACTGCACCATAGACTCAACACTGCACCATAGACTCAACACTGCCCATAGACTCAGCACTGCCCATAGACTCAACACTGCCCATAGACTCAACACTGCCCATAGACTCAACACTGCCCCATAGACTCAGCACTGCACCATAGACTCAACACTGCACCATAGACTCAACACTGCACCATAGACTCAGCACTGCCCCATAGACTCAACACTGCACCATAGACTCAGCACTGCCCCATAGACTCAACACTACCCATAGACTCAACACTGCACCATAGACTCAACACTGCACCATAGACTCAGCACTGCACCATAGACTCAACACTGCACCATAGACTCAACACTGCCCATAGACTCAACACTGCCCATAGACTCAACACTGCCCCATAGACTCAGCACTGCACCATAGACTCAACACTGCACCATAGACTCAACACTGCACCATAGACTCAACACTGCACCATAGACTCAACACTGCACCACAGACTCAACACTGCACTAGGACTCAACACTGCCCATAGACTCAACACTGCACCATAGACTCAACACTGAACCACAGACTCAGCACTGCACCATAGACTCAACACTGCACCATAGACTCAACACTGCCCATAGACTCAACACTGCCCATAGACTCAACACTGCCCCATAGACTCAGCACTGCACCATAGACTCAACACTGCACCATAGACTCAACACTGCACCATAGACTCAACACTGCACCATAGACTCAACACTGCACCACAGACTCAACACTGCACCATAGACTCAACACTGCACCATAGACTCAGCACTGCACCATAGACTCAACACTGCACCATAGACTCAACACTGCCCATAGACTCAACACTGCCCATAGACTCAACACTGCCCCATAGACTCAGCACTGCACCATAGACTCAACACTGCACCATAGACTCAACACTGCACCATAGACTCAACACTGCACCATAGACTCAACACTGCACCACAGACTCAAC